TCCCTCCCTCCTTCCCTTCCCCCTCTCCTCCCCTCCATCCTCCACCCTCCACCCACTCTCCACCTTTCTCCCTCCCTCCCTCCTTCCCTCCCTCCCTCCCTCCCTCCATCCTCCACTCTCCACCCTTCTCCCTCCCTCCCTCCCTCCATCCTTCTCCCTCCCTCCCTCCCTCCATCCATCTCCCTCCCTCCCTCCCTCCCTCCATCCATCCTTCTCCCTCCCTCCATCCTCCTCCCACCCCTTACAGGCTCGCCCTTGAGAACCAACGAGAGCGTGGTGGAGTGCGGGCCGGAGGGAAGCACCTGCCCCTCGAGCCACAAGTGTCACCTCTCCCCCTTGGGCGAGTACGCACTCTGCTGCCCCAAGCCACGTGAGTACAAGTTGTCAGCGTTCGGAGTCTCGCCGCCCGTCGGTTGTGTCTGTGAAAGGGGGGTGGGGGGCTAGTGTGTAAGAGAGCTGGGTGTATGTGTGTGTTCGTGAAGGGGGGGGGTGTGTTTGTGAGGAGGGGTTGTGTGTATAAAAAGTGTGTGTGTGTGTGTGTGTTTGTGAAGGGGGGTGTATAAAAGGGTGTGTATGTGCGTGTTTGTGAGGGGGGGGGGGGATTGTGTGTATATAAAGGGGTGTATGTGTGTGTTTGTGAGGGAGGGCTGTAAGAGAGAGGGTGTATGTGTGTTTGTGAGGGGAGGGTTATATGCGTTTGTGTGTCTGAATGAGTGCGTGTGTATGTAAGTGTAAATTATATTCGTCGTTTTGTTTATGTTTGTGTTAATGTTCCTGTCTGTTTGTTTTTTTATTTTCCTTGCAAGTATCTTAGATGTTCGTCAATGGATTGGTTCGATATACAGTATTTACACAGTTCTGTATTGACTTCTAAAACCAGGATCTTTGGGAATATACTAAGACGAATATACTGTATATACTAATAAGAATAAGAATATAAAAATAAGAATATGGTAAGATAAGAATATACTGATCTTGCAAATCCTTACTTGTACAAAACATATATATATGCTAATTGTTATTCACGATTTTTGCAAGAGAGAGAGAGAGGAGAAAAAAGATTAATGTTAAACCGAGAAAGAGAGAGAAAGAAAGATGAGAGAAAGATAAAAACAAAGGAAGAGAATTAAGAATAAAGAGAAAGGAGAAAAAATAAAAAGACTAAGAAAGAAAAAGAAGAAGGAATGAAGGAGAAAGAAGGAAGGTGAAAGAGAAAGAAAGAATGAGAGAAAGAGAAAGAAGAAGAAATTAAAATAAAGAGAAGAAAGACAATCAGAGGGAAAGAGAAAAAAAAGAAGAAAGGGAAGGAATTCGAAAGTGGGAGAGAAAGAAAAAGAACCTGAAAGAGAGAGAGAGAAGGAAAAAGAACCTGAAAGAGAGAGAGAAAGAGAAACAAGAGAGAAAGAAAGAGAGCGAATGATTTAACGGGATCATCGTAGAAGTAATTACTCGTGTTCTCGCTGCAACGGCTGGAGTGGAGAAGCGCTTGCAGTTGCATGCACTCGAGGCCTCGCGGACGATGAATGGCGGAGGCAGAAGGAGGAGGAAAGGAGAGAGGAGGAAAGGAGGGGGGGGGGGTGGAGAAGGAGGAGGAGGAAGAAAGGAGGAGGGAATGTGGAGAGGAGGAGGAGGAAAGGAGAGGGGAAGGGGAGGAGGAAAGGAGAGAGGAGGAGGAAGAAAGGAGGGAGGGGGGGGAGAAAAGGAGGGGAGATGGATGAGGAAGAAAGGAGGGAGGGCAGGGAGGAAGGATCATGGAGAGTGGAGGAGGAGGAAAGGAGGGGGAGGAGAGGAGAAAGGGGAAGGAGGAAAGGAGAGAGGACGAGGAGAGGAGAAAGGGGAAGGAGGAAAGGAGAGAGGAGGAGGGGGTGGAGAAAAGGGAGGAGGGAAGGGAAGAAAAGAGAGGAGGAGGAAGAGGAGGAAAGAAGAGAGGAGGAGGAGGAAGAAGGGAGGGAGGGGAAAAGGGATGGTAGTGGAGAAGGGGAGAGGGTGGAAGAGGAGGAGGAAGAAGACGAGGAGAAACAAATCGAAAAAAAGAAAACAAAAATAAATAAAGTAGAAAAGATAAAATCAAAGAGAGGGAAATTAGATAAACGAGAGAATAGAAGAGGAGGAAAAGAGAAAAGGAGGGAGATAAAAGTTTGATAGCATAGGAAAATAAAACTAAATTGGGGAAGACAGAAATCAGATAAAAGAGAGAAAGGAGAAAAACAATAACAAGAAGAAGGATAAACGAGGGAAGAAATTGAAATCAGAAAAAAACGAAGATAAATGAAAGAATAACTAAAACAAATACAAATAAACGAAAGGAGGAAGAGAAAGTACGAAAAGAGAAGAGAGGCTGATCAAATAACATTAAGAAGCATAAACACGAATCACTCTTAAGGATTTCCTATCCCAAAATATGTAGATAGAAAATGTGAAATGCGATTGTTTTCTAGTCGTTGTTGTTGTTGTTGTTGTTCTTCTTCTTCTTCTTCTTCTTCTTTTTCTTCTTCTTCTTCTTCTCGTTCTTCTTCATCTTCTTCTTCTCGTTCTTCTTCTTTTTCTCCTTCTCCTTCTCCTTCTTCTCCTTCTGCTTCTTCTTCTCCTCCTCCTCCTCCTCCTCCTCCTCCTCCTCCTCCTCCTCCTTCATCTCCTTCATCTCCATCTCCTTCTCCTTGTTCTAGCTGTTGTTATTGTTCTTAATATCATTACCAGACCCCAAATCTCTGGGAATTCCTCCATTTTTCCCGCCATTTTTTCCCGCCATTTTTTCCGCCATTTTTTCCCACGGTGCGTAATGCTGTCGATAGTATTGGAATCCCGGCGTTAAAGGTGTACAATCCAACATCTAGTTTAAATCTACTACTACTACAGAGTCCACCTTGAGGCTTCGAGATTTTGCAACAGAATTACTGGGGAGTCAGTCTATCGTGATGTTTTATTTGTTTTTTGTTGTTGTTGTTTGTGTTGTTTTGTTGTTGCCTTTTCGAAAGAGCCTGGAGTCATCGGGTCGAGTTTTCGAGAGCTGTTGTTGTTGTTTAATTTGTCGGAAGTTGTGATTTTAGCTGTGGGTGTGTTGGTGGGTGGAATGTGTTTGTTTCTTTGTTTGTTTGTGTGTTTATTTGTGGGTTTGTGTATGTATGTGTGTTTATTTGTGGGTTTGTGTATGTGTGTGTTTATTTGTGGGTTTGTGTCTATGTTTGTTTATTTGTGGGTTTGTGTGTGTGTGTGTGTGTGTGTGTGTTTGTTTGTGGGTTCGTGTGTGTGTGTGTAATGCTGATATCACTTCCTCATAAAATACCCTGTGATTGCCTCTTTATGGACTCATTGACTCACCCATTCACTGTGCCTCACTTTATTGTTCACTTGCACCCCCCCCCCCACAGTTCACCACTCACGCCCATTCTCATTACTAGGTATATCACTCCCTCACTTCATCACTCATGAACTAATTTACTTTTTTTCTCCTTCCCTCGTCGTCCTTCACGCTTTCCCTCGCAACCTCGCCCCCCCCCTCTCACCCTCTCTCGTCAACTCCCACACTTTTCCATCTACCCCCCTCCCACTCCACCCCTCTCTTGCTCCCCACTCCCTCCCACCAAACCCCTCTCCCCTTCCTACCCAACCTATCCACCCAACGCCCTACCCACTCCCACTCCCACTCCACCCTTCCCCCTATCCCCTCCCTTCCCTCCCCTTCCCTTCCCCACTCCTTCCTCCTCCTTCCCCCTCCCTCCTTCCCTTCCCCACCTCTCCCCCTTCCCCTCCCCACTCCTTACCCCTCCCTCCTTCCCCTTCCTTCCAACCCCCCCACAGGCGAGATCTGCTACGAGCCCAAGGACGCCGGCTACTGCGAGGGCGCCATCAAGAGGTGGTACTTCAACCCCGAGAGCAACAGGTGCGAGGCCTTCCGGTTCGGAGGCTGCAGCGGGAACCTCAACAACTTCGAGAGCCAAGGCGAGTGCGCCGCCACCTGCCCGGTCCTCACGTCGTGCGAGAGGATGAGGGAGAAGAACCTGAGGAATGTGGATAAGAATAAGAAGGTGAGGAGGGGAGGGGAGAGAAGGGGAAGGAGGGTTGAGAGGAAAGAGGGGGAGGGGAAAGGAGAGGGAGGGAGGGAGGAAGAGATCTGGTACATAAGAGATAAGAGACAGAAAGACAAGACTGAGCTATGCATAGATGAATCCACATATTTTGGCCGGTCTAGTTATATTTGAAAGAGAGAGAGAGAAAGAAAGAGAGAGAGAGAGAGAGAGAGAGAGAGAGAGAGAGAGAGAGAGAGAGAGAGAGAGAGAGAATCCCCCACCCCACCCCTTTCCCCCGTATTTACTGATTTTATTGTTGTTGTTGCAGCTGAAGTTCATCCCGAAGTGCTCGAAGGAGACGGGGGCGTGGCTTCCCGAGCAGTGCCTGGAGGAGCTGGGTGTGTGCTGGTGTGTGACCCCGCAGGGCGACCAGGTGCCAGGCTCCCTCACTCGCGGGGCCCCCCAGTGCCAGGGCGCCGCCAGGGCCTCCCGCAGGATGAGCTTCGACCCCGCCACGCCCACCAACATGAGTGAGTGATGGCGACCGTCGGCTTTGTTTGTGTTGCTCTGGTTATGTTGCTTTGCGTTTGTGTGTTTTTGTTTGTTTGTTTGTGTGTTTGTTTTCTCTTGGAATTAAAACCATGTTTTTTTTTGTTTTTGTTTTTTCATTCGCTTTACATTGGCGTAGAGAAAAAAAATTCTGTTCGCTTATTTGCCATATTTTTTTTGTTCTGAGAAGTCAAGAATGAAGCAGCTGTTGGCTATTTATGCAACTAAAAACGGCTTAAACAATATAAAAATGCATATGATGTTTGCAAAAGAATAATGCCAAGGTAAACCGAACCTTCCCAAGCCAATGTGATAACTGATTCACTCATTCTGTCTCCGGAAAAAAGTGCGAGAAATACTAATTTATCCTTTTTTTCTCTCCCCTTCTCCCTCTTCTTCTCCTTCCCTTTCTCCCTGGCCATTTCTCCTTCTTCCCTCTCTTTCTCTTCTTCTTCCTTGTTCTCCCTCCTGCCTTCCCACCCCATTTACCCCCTTTCTCTTCCTCCTCCTCTCTCCTCCCCACCTGCTCTTTCTCCCTATTTTCCTCCCCTTCTCCCACCCCCCTCTCTCCTCCCTCCCCCTCTCTCCTCCCTCCCTCCTCCCTCCACCTCCCTCCTCCCCTCTCTCTCCTCCCCTCCCCCTCTCTCTCCTCCCTACCCCCCACCTCCCTCCCTCCCCCCTCTCTCTTCCCTCCCCCCCCCTGTCTCCTCCTCCTCCCCCCCACCAGTCTGCGAGCCCGGCCAGACCGTCCACGTTTGCGACAAGCAGCTGTGCGAGAACCAGGTGTGTTTCTCGCACCCGCACGCCGTCTGCCGCGTCAACCCCTGCGGCGGGTGTTCGGTGCAGTTCGTGGACGCCTTCAACTCGCCCGTCAACTGCGAGGTGGGCCTGACGGAGTGCCAGAGGGAGCTGCAGAGGGTTCTTAACTCGCCCATCTTCACCAGGCCCGCGCTGGCCTTCGCCGGTAGGTGCTGGGAGGAGGTCTGCTTGTACTGGATGTGGGCGTGTCTGTAGGGGGTTTTCTAAGGGTTTTTTTGTGGGGTTTAGGTGTTCTATGGGCTTCTGCAGGGTTTCTGTAGGATTCCTTTTGAGGTCTGTTCATGTTTGTTTGTTTTGTTTTTTATGGAAAGATTCTGATGGCTGATGTCAAGACGACCCCCCCCCCTCCTCGGAAGAGGTCTGACCCCACCCCCTTCCCCCCGTTCCAGGCCGCAGGTTCCCGCCCTCCGACGCCGACGACTCGGCCGACAACCGCGTGCACTACGACGTGGACCTGTACCGCAACGTGGACGTGTTCCACTTCCCGATCGACCAGGCCGTCCCCGTCGACCCCGCCTCCAGCGCCGCGCCCTCCGAGGACACGCCCCTCCCGGCGGGCCGTCGCGGAGGCCGCCACATGACCTTCGAGGAGAGCGACCTCGACAGGAGCCTCACCGTGTCCGGAGACGTCGTGGCTGAGGCGCAGGAGCACCTGAGGAAGGCCAGGGCGCTGCCGCAGGTGAGGCGCCGCCAGGGCTTTCTGTGGCCGCCGGAAAATGCAGTTAATGTTTAACACACGATATGAAGTCCTGGTAAGGAATTAGGATTAAAAAAAATAGAATTGCATATAAAAAACTCCTCCCGCCTTCTTCAGGAGACCGTGCCCGAGTCGCCCCTTGAGGAATCGAGTCTCGTCGACCCCGAGGACCTGGAGATGCACCTGGCCGGCCCCGCCCTCGAGGGAAGCAACTCCTTCGGCCTCGAGGACGACTTCCCTCCCCCGCGCCTCACCCTCGACGACACCTTTGAGGCTGTCCCTACAGAAGGTGAGTCTCGACCGCTGCAGTGGAGGGTCAGCTTGGCTCGAGTGACACTTTGTATTTATATGAACTGTACCTGTTTATTGTTGCTGATATGTATATATTGTTTTTGTTTTTATGTAGGATTTAGACATGGCATTGGAAGATGTAGAAAAATGTATCTTGTTTCTCTGTCCACCTTCTATTTTCTCGACTTCTGTGCCTTCTTCACTTCGAATATTCTGTCCACTCCCTTAAAAGCTATACTGCCTTTTGCATCCACATTTTTATGCTGCTCATTTTTATATTCCCTCGTGACACGGTATGCTTATTCTTCTCCGCGCCGTCGTCAGAATACAAATATATTCTTCGCTTCTCAAAACCCAAAAGTGTACATACATATTTGAATGACTTACAGTGCATGGCGTATTTTACATATCATATAATACATTACAATAGATAATATAGATTACATACCAACACGGGGGTTTAAATAGATAAAGGCGTATATTAAAAAAATAGAGAGAGAAATACAGGAATGATTTACATTGGATATCATATATGACACACCAACACAGGAATCTAAATAGATAAAGATGTATATTAAAAAAAACGACCATGATTATGACACAAAGAAATGTATACCTTAACATAGTAGATGTAGCATTAAGACCACCAGTAGGACCTTGTTAATACGGGGTAGTCTTCGCTTACTAGACACTTGACTCTTGGACTAACCTTAGACAAAGAGTCGTTAAGTAATCCCTACGTCTTGAGAACGTGGATCTTCTTAAGGAGTAAGTGGTTTTCCTTCTGCAACTGTCTTGCGTGTGAGTATTTTATTTCAATCTTTCTTTCAATAAGTGTTCGTTGAGAGATGTTCGTGAATCGGTTCTTTCCTTTGTTTTTCGTTTTTTTTTTTTTTCTTTTTTTTTTTTTGTTTTTTGTTTGTTTTTGAGATAACCGAGATATGTAAGGGTGATATTCGTTTTAAAATATATAGAGTGTAAAGCATTGTCTACACCCTGTCGAGACGCAGATGTTAATTCAGCGAATAGAGTTTCTTTTGAAATGAAAATAAGACAAAGGAAATGGCCTCAAGACATCTTTCTGTGCTCCACTCCCCTCCTGCCTCTCTCCTCCTTCGCTCACTCCCCTCTCCTTTC